ATCAATCGTACGAGATTCTAAGGTTTTAGCCAAGGATGCCTGCTGACCGATTTGGCATAGTGTGCGTACATTGAAGGCTCCAATGTGTAGTTTGGAGCGAGGTTTCAGTAGACCTGGGACAGTGTTTTGCGCACTAGAATCGTTGGCTGTGGTGACACTTGAGGAGGAAGCTAAAAGAGGAAGTTTAGTGTATAAAGTCGATTTAGGAGGAATAATAGGAATTGAAGAGGGAGGTTGATTTTGAATACAGTGGTCTTGAGTGCTGTTAGAGGTATGAGGGCGGTTATCACTTCCCGGTTGCCCACACCGTGGAAGGGTTCTTCTGGAGGTACCTGAAAAGGAAATTGGATTAGAGTTGGTCATAGTGACCTGAGAGCGTGACCGCAGTGCCCAAGGGACAGCTGCTTGAGGTCGGTCACACACGACCTTTTTATGAGTGATTTTTGTGTTAGCTCCGTACTTGTTGAGTCCTTACCGCCGGAGACGGATATCCGTGGGATAAGGCGAGGTGTGCATTTTTAGGGTCGACCTTTTCTAACCCCACCCCTCCTTGTGGGAAGGCAGCATCGCTGTCATGCTGGTTGTCTGAAGGAAACACCTTACTGCTGTCACACCTCTGTACAGTCAGCAGTACGACTTCGCCTTCGGACCTTGGTTTTGTTGCTTTTAGTCTTACCGCTCTTCAACCGACCTGTCTGGCATGGTAGGACCTTGAGGAACGGTTGTTCCAGCCAATATAGCTCAGTTGCTTCATCACGATAGGCAAGCCCGACCACCACGTCAAGGTAGCAACAACGGTCAGGACAGGATGCAAGTCGACCCTAGAAAAGTGCGCTACTAAAAAGGGGAGGAGTGTTGGGGACGATAGATCCCTAAAAACTCATACTTTGTAATTTATCTTGTGGAGCTTGTATGCAGATGTATACGTGGGCATTTCTTACCACCCACGCACATAGTTGATTGACGAATTTATCGATTAAATGTTTAAATATTTCGATGGCAGTCAATTGACGAACTATCGATTAAATGTTTAAAAGCTCCATGACAATATCGATGTATATATATTTGTATATATACGTTTTAAAATTGTATTTGTAAAAAGTTTGCTGGTTTTCTGGTTGTTACAGAATATACTTTCATACTAAGCTTCGTCTTCTCACTCTAGATAGCGGGCTGGGACGCGTCAATAGATAGCTTACTGATCGTTGGTCACTGAATCTCGTTCGCAGACTACGTGAACCCGTGATCTCTCTTTCAACAGAAAGCTTTCCGACCTTCTCCGAAAAGCTAGGCGTCCAGATGTAGTAATAGTGGCTGGTGACTTTAATGCTCAAGTAGGTAAACTAAGCGAAAAGGAAAGACACCTGGGTGGATCTTATGGTGTCGCGGTTCAAAGAACAGATAACGGTGACCGTCTGTTGCAGCTATGCTCTGATAACCGCCTGTTTCTTGCAAACACTAACTTTAAGCATAAGGAAAAATATCTTTTAACATGGCGACCCCCTAATTCGTCTCTACGCTGGACCCAAATAGATCACATCGCTATCAGCCACCGATGGAGGTGCTCGATAGAAGACTGTCGCTCATTCTGGAGCACATGCTTGGACTCAGATCATGCTCTAGTGCGAGCGCGTATTTGTCTACGTCTTACTGGACGTAGGAAACATGCTGCAAGGAAACCCCTTAGGGTCCTACTTAATGATAGTCAAGCTAAGAGTATATTTCAGGAACATCTAGAAAAACAGTTAGACAGCCATGTAAGTGACGCCCACCCTGAGGCAACGTGGAATGACATCCGAAAAGCTGTAGAAACAGCAGTGATGTCTGCAAGTAAGATAAACCATAAGGTTATGGAGAAACACTGGATCTCAACAGCGTCTACCGCACTGATAGATGCTCAAAAACTCATTACATCTGGCTCTGAACATAACGAAGAGCGGAGTCAGCTTGAGCGTAAGCTGACTAGAAGCCTACGCAAAGATCGTGAACAGTGGTGGGTAGCGAAAGCAAGAGAGATGGAAAAGGTAGCAGCAATAGGTAACAGCAGGCAACTGTTCAGACTTGTTAAGGAAACCGGTATTAGGAACCCAACTGTTAGCGAAACAATCGCAGAGAAAGATGGACATATTATTCATTCTCAATCCAGGAGACTGGATCGATGGGCAGAACACTTTAGGGATCAGTTCAACTGGCCTTCAGCAACACTTCGGTTTCCCACGACCTCCAGTCGACCTGAATGGCAAGTTGATGTAAGTCCTCCGACTCTTTACGAAGTTGAAAAAGCTATAGGAAATCTGAAGCGTGGGAGAGCAGCAGGCCCTGACAGGTTTACCCCTGAGATTTTTAAGGATGGTGGTTCAGTATTAGCAGCGAGATTGACTGAGGTCTTAGGTAGAATCTGGGAACTGGACGTAATCCCATCTGACTGGTCCCAACCACTGATTGTGCCAGTCTATAAGAAAGGACAAAAGTCTTCTTGTGACAACCACAGAGGAATTAGTTTGTTTAGTATTGTGTCTTAAATATTAGCTTCAATATTACTTCAACGCCTAACCAAAGCTCGTGAAGAGCAGAATAGAGAAAACCAGGCTAGTTTTCTACCTGGACGTGGTTGTATTGATCAAATATTCACACTACGTCAGATCCTAGAGCATAGACACACATTCAGACTCCCCACAATGGTAGTATTTCTCGACCTTAAGGCGGCATTTGACTCTGTTGATCGTGAGGTTCTATGGCAGTGTTTGTCACTGAAAGGAATACTAAAGTACATCAACCTTATAAAGGCTCTCTACTCGAACACAACTGGTGGAGTGAGAGCTTATGGCGAACTGTCATCAGAACTAACTACCTCAAGTGGTGTTCGTCAGGGCTGTCCACTCTCTCCATTCTTGTTTAACTTTGTCGTTGACGTGCTTTTAGAAATAACATTTTCCTCATCTAAATTTCCAGGAGTTGAACTTCTACCGGGAGATTCACTTTTTGACTTAGAGTATGCCGGTGACATAGTTCTATTTGGTGAAGACGCTGACAAAATGCAGTCTTCTGACTACTCTAAGCAACAATGCAGGCATGTTCAGCATGCGATTTTCTCCCTCGAAATGCAAAATGTTGCTTCAGGATTGGGTTGCATCGACACCCGAACTAGTGATAGGGAGTGAAGTAGTTGAGCGTGTCGACCGCTTCACTTATCTTGAAAGTCCCATCAGCCCTTGTGATCTGGTATGTGACGAAATCTCAGCACGGATACAGAAGGCTCGACTAGCTTTTGCCAACTTGAGTCATTTATGGCGTAGGCGAGATATCCGTCTATCAACCAAAAGACGAGTTTACTGCGCAGCAGTTCGTTCCGTCCTACTTTATGGAAGTGAAACATGGCCAGTAAGAGTAGAGAATATTCGTAGGTTACTAGTATTCGACCACAGATGTCTTCGAAACATTGCTCGTATATTCTGGGACCACCGAGTAAGTACCTCAGTTGTTAGGAAACGGGTACTAGGTAAGGATGGCAAATCAATTGAGGAAGTAGTGAAACTTAATCAGTTGAGATGGCTGGGACATGTGCTGCGCATGCCCGACCACCGACTGCCCCGACGTGCTATGTTTTATGGTGTAGGAGTAGGTTGGAAGAAAGCTAGGGGCGGCCAGACCAAAACATGGCACAAATCCATGAAGTCACTGACAAATGGACTGAGCCATGTTGGTAGGTGTAGACTACATGGTTGGGGTCCGCGAAACGATAGCAACCGATGGTTAGAGATCTTGAATGGCATGACTCAAAATCGTTTGCAATGGCGCAGGTGCATCCACTCTTTGTGTTTTCTCAAACACTGATCTTCTGAATTCTTCATGTCCTTTATTTTCTTTTCAAATCTATTCCACTGGACTGTACTCCTTAAATCACATCATCAAACCCTAATGTTCCCTATCACTACTTATACTTTTACTACCTCTACCAATACGGGATTTGAATCGATAACTGAATCTCTATGCTAATGTGGTATAGCAACTCGAACTGATGTACGTACGCAAGAAGTTCCACGTTGTTACTGACGAACTGACTGACCATAGGTGACGTAAGTTGGCAAAAGCCAAACGACGTTTTTGAATTCGTGATGGGATGTCACACACCAACTCATTAGGGCTGATTAGACTTCCAAGATAAGTGAAGTTGTCAACGCGTTCGGCTACTTCAGTATTAAGTTTGAGTGCAGTTCCCAAAAACAAATTACTTTTGTAGTCATTAAACTGTAAGTCAGTCTAATAACTTTTAAATGAGGATGATAAACTTACAAGCATTCTAGAAACAAACAACTTCGACTATATGTCCACTGAGAAACCTAGCAGAAGAGTACATTTCTGGCTTTGTGATAGAACGTGTCGTATAGTTTTAGAAAACCACTGAAGACCCATATATACTCATCTATCTGTAACTTCCGTGAAACTAGGCAGTTGTCTTTTTAGTAGAACACTACTTCAGTACAACGAAACCATAAACGCTATAATTATGCGACATCATTTGATGCTTTAACAACCAATAGTAGCGTTTTGCCATCAAATCTTAGAAGAACAAATCAAGACGAGTATGGTGTTCGGCTTAAAGGTGGGATGTGATTCATCCGAGTAGCTAGACAGGTTAATATGCTCGGAATTAAAACACACTTAGTGTAAGGGCACATGTTACTGGTATTTCCGAGTCAGTGTTGGTAGGTCTGGGTTCGAGCCCACAACCTGGTGTTTACTCTAACTACTGCTCCAGTTCCTCAATCCTATCCAACTGAAGACCAATCATGTGTGGTTTTAAGCCACGGCAAGAACGACTACATATTTTGTGTCTGATTCATTCGCCTTCGAACCTTGTAAAGTGGACAGCTAATTAAATGGATACCAAATAGTTTCAAACTAAAATCTTGGATTAAGTAGTGTCGAAGGTTTGCATGAGTGATATAGTAACACTAATATGCGGCTAAATGTTATGATACATGAGAAATGCGGACTTTCGTCAGTCTTCTGAGTAAAAGTGAACGAGTTATATTCAACAAAATTGGGAACAGATTTACAGGAGTATGGATCCGATAACAAACACAAGGCCGCTCAGAAAATATTTGAACACGTAGATTAAAATAATTCAGTAAGAAGATATACTGTGAAATAAACAAGATATTAGTAAGTGAAACATGTTTGCGTACATATATTTTACAGAGTGCAGAAATGAGCCAAGTTATAGATAAAGTCCTTCAGGTGTCCCTTCACTTTTCCGATAAAGTACATTCTCTCTCGCCTTTTTGAAATCTTCGTCAGTGACTTTCATCCTTCTTTCTCGTAGAGCCAATAACCCAGCTTCAGTACAAATAGCCTGAAAAAAAAGATCAAAATCCACTTTTATTACCACGTAGTTAAAAATAAACATTACCCTTGCTAATCTTCTAGAGCTTGATCTTTATAACATGACTCTGTTTGTGAATTCCATAGCACAGCCCGAACGCATAAGGGTTCTTCTTACTCCATTCAACATAAACACATACAGAAAAAATCTGTATCCTAGCAACAACCATGCAAAAAACGGTAGAAATTTCTTATGAAACCCACACCTATGAGCTTTCAAAGGATTTTACAAAAACATTACATATGAACCGAACACTTGCACGATGTTGGTTTTAAGGATGTCACATAACTTTTTTATTCGGAAACGTTTAAGCATCATATGAAGAAATATAGTGCAGCAACGATGAGTAAGCCTGACATAGAATTTGCGGACACGCTACTTTTTAGTGAACCGATCTGATTTAATCTGAAACTCAACTAAACTTGGGAATTCCCAATTGTTTTTCGATGACATCAACATTCCTTTATTTCATAAGTTAATGAATAACATTGTGGAAAAGATATACTGAAATGGTGAAGCAATTTATTTAATTTCACATAAAATCTAGTACAACTGGAAAGCAGAAATGATATGAGCCACATAACGGGTTTGTGTGTGGGCCGGTCTCGGTAGCAAACAACAAATTGCTTATTTTGAAATCCCAAGTTAAATGACTTGGAAGGCCTATGTCGATCGAGTCAGGCGCTTCATAAATTTTTGTAACGTCTCGGTCACCCTGCTCTTGATTTTACTTACTTACTTACTTACTTACGCCTGTTACTCCCAATAGAGCATAGGCCGCCGACCAGCATTCTCCAACCCACTCTGTCCTAGGCCTTCTTTTCTAGTTCCATCCAATTCTTGTTCATTTTTCTCATATCTATCTCCATTTCTCGGCGTAATGTATTCTTTGGTCTTCCTCTCTTCCTTCGACCTTGAGGATTCCATATGAGGGCTTGTCTTGTGACGCAGTTCGGTGCTTTCCTCAATGTGTGTCCTATCCACTTCCAGCACTTCTTCCTGATTTCTTCCTCCACTGGGATCTGATTTGTTCTCTCCCACAGTAGGTTGTTGCTTATAGTGTCCGGCCAGCGGATCTGAAGTATTTTGCGTAGACAACTGTTAATAAACACCTGTATCTTTTGGACGATGGATTTCGTAGTTTTCCAGGTTTCCGCCCCATACAGTAGAACTGTCTTGACATTTGTATTGAAAATTCTGACTTTGGTGTTGGTTGCTAATTGTTTTGAGTCCCAGATATTCTTCAGTTGTAAATATGCTGCTCTTGCTTTGCCAATCCGTGCCTTCACATCTGCATCAGATCCACCGTGTTCATCGATGATACTGCCCAAATATGTAAAGGTTTTTACATCTTCCAAAGCTTCTCCGTCAATTGTGATTGGATTGGTACATGCTGTGTTGTATCGTATTTGTTGTTGCGTATGCGATAGAAGAGCCAGATCATCTGCGAAGTCTAGATCATCCAATTGCATCCTAGCTATCCACTGTATCCCGTGCTTCCCTTCAGATGTTGACGTCTTCATGATCCAGTCGGTCACCAGGAGAAAGAGAAAGGGTGAGGGTAAGCAACCTTGCCTGACACCGGTCTTTACTTCGAACGACTTTGTCAACTGTCCTCCATGCACGATTTTGCAGTTTAATCCATCATAGGAATTCTGTATGATATTGACTATCTTCTGAGGCACGCCGTAGTGTCGAAGAAGCTTCCATAGGGTTGTTCTGTCCACGCTATCAAATGCTTTTTAGTAGTCGATGGAGTTGATATAGAGTGATGAATTCCATTCAATTGATTGTTCCACAATGATCCGTAGAGTTGCGATTTGGTCTGTGCACGATCTATCCTTACGGAATCCTGCCTGTTGGTCTCGAAGTTGGGCGTCTACGGAGTCCTTCATCCTGTTTAACAATACCCTGTTGAAGACTTTTCCCGGTATTGAAAGAAGAGTGATTCCCCTGTAGTTGTCACAGTTGCTGAGATCGCCTTTCTTTGGTATTTTGACTAGAAGTCCTTCTCTCCAGTCTTTTGGTACCTGTTCCTCATCCCAGATCTTTCTGAAGAGAGTTTGGAGTATCCTTGCAGTTGCCGCTACGTCTGCCTTCAGTGCCTCTGCTGGAATGCTGTCTAGTCCTGCTGCTTTGCCACTCTTGATTTGTCTGATAGCCATGCTGATTTCTTCCGCCTGGAGTCCCTTTCCGGGGGTTACTGCCGGTCCCAAGCCCGGATAAAGGAGGAGGGTTGGGCATGGGGTTAGCGACCCCATCCCGTAGAAAACTAACTCGCTAAAAAAACGCTAACCAGAAAAAATTGTTCAAACCATTCAAACTCTGCCCTGGGAGTCAGGAGGTCTTCGTTTAGAATTATGACGCCTGATGATGAAAGCTCTTGATTTTCCTCAGGCGTATTTCTACTCATCATACTTATCAATACGCCCAATTTGGGTAAACAATGGTTTGGTGTGCTTGCATAAATTAAGTATCATCTCACCTTGATGTCAGCACCTGAAAGTTCATCTTTAGAAGCAACATATTCCTCCAAATTTACATCTTCAGCTAAAGTCATGCGACTTGTATGAATACTGAAAATACGACGTTTTGTTTTCTCATCAGGTAGTGGAAATTCGATTTTACGATCGATTCGACCAGGTCTGATTAGCGCAGGGTCCAACGTTTCAATCCTGTTAGTGGCCATAATAACTTTCACGTCTCCACGAGAATCAAAACCATCCAATTGATTAAGTAATTCTAACATTGTCCTCTGTATTTCGCGTTCACCACCTGAATTTGATTCATACCTAAAATAATCAAAACGGATATATTGAAACAAACCTAGCCTAGATTACATGTACGGCATACAAACTCAGTGTTATTCGGGAGATTCATAAATCTAACCCCATTGGCAATATGAAAGATAATAATAAAGAAGCAAACGTAGTGAAAGTAACCAAGCGGGTATGGAAATATCGATAAGAAATAAAGTCACATCATTGAATCCTTTCTGCAAAAATTATTTAACAAACATACTACTTGGAGTAAAATATTTTCATAAATTAAATTTGCGGAAATTATATTAGCCAGCACAAGCTTAAACACCCAACATCAAATTTTAATTGACCCATCAGTGAACTTTTAGATGTCTTGTTCTAATTAATGAACTAAATGGGTAGCAGAACATGACTGATTCATTAGTTGACTGGGTTTGGTCACTTGAATAGATATCATCCTGTATTGAACACCGTGTATCTTGCTGGTATTCTTAATTCGGTGACTGAACACTAATAAAGTTCTTGGTTTTGCTTGGAATTATAATTTTCCAATCCCAAAAAATACAAAACATGAACTTAACATTCCAAAATACTTATTTACACATCCTGCATTCCGCCTAAATTTAAACTTGGTACATATATATGTTCGTTTTACTGAACAGTTAATTCACAACGAACTCCGCCTGTAGCTTTTCTAGGGCAACTACCGGTCCCAATCCCAGGTAAAGAAGGGTGGGGCATAGGGTCAGCATCCCAGTCCCGTAAAAAACACTAACCAGAATGACTCTTGTCACGAAGAGAAAAATGCTCCACACACTCAGGGAGTTGCTTTGGTGCTGTTCAAACAAGCACGAAATGAGCTTATAGAATGGGAATCTCATGGATCCAGGATCATAAAAGCATCATTCAAAACAAAGAAGGAGAAATCACAATGAATATTATCCAATGTTATGCACCCACTGATGATAGCAACGACGACGACAAACATCAGTCATACGAGAGGCCACAATCGATCATAGAGAAATGCCCAGGAAAGAACCTGACCATCGTGATGGGAGATTTAAACGCCAAAGTTGGGATGGACAACAACGGTTATGAAGATATCATGAGACGACATGAACTGACTGAGACAGGAACGAGAATGGCGGGAAAGTTGAAAATCTACGTGCATTCAACGAGTTGGTTATAGGCGGCACAATACTTCCACACAAACGTGTACACAAAGCTACATGGATCTCAACGGACCACACCACGGAAAACCAGATCGATCATATTTGTATCAACAAAACATTCACAAGGACAATGGAAGACGTGAGAACCGAGACAGGAGCTGATATAACTTCAGATCACCATTCACCTGGTGGTTGCCTGGGTGAAACTGAAATCAAGGAAGCAATGGACAACTGGGGAAACAGCAGTACAAAGGTTCAATACAACCTTTACTCGACACACTGACAAACTCAACGAGTTTAAGATAGCTCTCAGCAATAGGTTCCCAACTTCCAGATCAACAAGCTGGATTCTGTGAGAATCGGTCTCAAGACGAAATCGCTAAGCCACCGATTATCGATGAGCAATCAATTGAATGGAACTCATCAATACAACCTTTACTCGACACACTGACAAACTCAACGAGTTTAAGATAGCTCTTATCAACAGCTCCCAAGTCTTACAGGAAGAAGAGGAAACTACTATGAAGGACAACTGGAAAGGGGTCAGAACAGCAGTAACTTCAACGTGCCAGAATGTTCTGGGCCGCAACAAGCATAAGGAATGGATCTCGATTGGAATCCTGGACAAGACTAAAGTAAGGAAGAACAAGAAGACAGCAAATAACAACAGCCAAACAAGGACAGAGAAAGTCAAGGCACAAAACGAATACACGGAAGCAAACAATCAAGTGGAGAAGGGCATTAGAGCCGACAAACAGAAACACTTGTAAGAGCTAGCAAGGACAGAGGAAAAGCTATAACAGAAGGAAATATCAAGCAACTATATGACACGACGAAGATATTGGCAAGGAAACATAGTAAACCAGAGAGACCGGTCAAGAACTAAAGGAGACAACCCAATCACTGAAAAAAGTATATACATGGCAGTGCTAGACAGTTCTATTCACCAATGAGGATATCAGCTGGGAATCTCCTACACAAACGAGTGTCTCGAATTCTCAGAATGCAAGCTGGGGATCTTTTGTTGTGCTTTTATATCAATGATGTTTAACACATACATTCCGTCCTTATTAACTACACAAATATTGAGTCCTTTTCTTTTTGTAGCTGTATTTTCAACCCACTGTAGCCCCAAACACAAAAAAGGTGAACAAACAATCAGCTCAGTAGCACTAAATTTATTTAATTATGCAGTGAGCTATACAATACAGTAAATCAACAAGATGAAAAGCAAAGTAGAATAATTAACCTCAGTCCCCCAAGCGAGTAAAAGCTAAAAGCTAGTGCTGTACCAGTGTGGAAATTTTGTTCTCCACCGACAGGTAGAAGGACTAAAATTTTCAAGTGAAATTGTCAAAGCATCTAACTATCTTACTCTATCGTCAAACTAGGATCAACGCGAACTACTCTTGAAACATTTTAAATTTAGAGGAGAAACGTATTTCTAATGTTTATGCATTTACATTTGCTAGGAGTTGCCAAACCACATATACAGTACTTGAAAACACTACAAACCTTTTTGTCCCCACTGCATCGATCTCATCAATAAATACGATACTAGGTGCATTTTCTTCTGCCAACCGAAACAACTCACGAACCAATTTTGGACCATCACCCAAATACTTTTGAATTAATTCTGACCCGACAACCCGAAGGAAGGTAGCTGATGTTTGGTTAGCAACAGCCTTAGCTAGCAATGTTTTGCCTGTAAAAAGAAATATTTGTGCCAAGGCCAGAAAATATTTAACACATTAATAATATAAAGTAGCGGTAAATTATTTAATGGTTGGCATTGGAGATATATATATATGGAGGCAGACCAAGACAACAAAATGGCTAGAAATTTCGACAAATCTCTTTATTGAGCAACTTGTTACATAAATATCGCAGTTAGAATCCAAAACGGTTTCGAAGTCGAGCACTAAATTAGGCGGAACTGTAAAGTGTCTATTTCAGAGGCAGGAAAAAAGCAATCTCCAGGTCTATCAGCTTGAGAGAGAAATTCAAATTACAGTTGTACTGACTAAAATATACAGAATGAGACTTTCATCTGCGATCTGTTTGTAAATAGGTGCTTGGACTATTGATTAACTAATTTACACAAATACAAATGCACACACACACACTACCCACGTATCACACATTAATAACAAGTCAGAAGAATCACGATTCAGTAAAAATCATTCAGCGGAACTATATTTTGCAGACGAATCAATCAGATCTAAGGTAAGCCCTGAATTTCGGAGCGAAATCCTTCATTCATATGGTAAAATGGCATTTTTGGATATCGGTTCATAATGAAAGCACAACTCTAATTCATGACACCAACTTCTAATTCTAAATCCAGATCATGATTCCTCATACTAATTTATAACCCTCCTTAAACCCCTGATTTGATGGATTTCCTCAAGGCTGGTTTGGAGTCGCTCAAATGATCGTCCATAAATTATGGTCTCACCAATCATTCTTACTGGAACTGCGACTCACAAACCCTAATTCGAAAACAACCCGACACATAAATTGGAAATCATACCTAACTAGTAGGTTGAACTACCGTTAATTATGGGGGCTAGGTCACCTAAGGTGAAGGACTTTTGTGGGTGGTTGAAGCAGATATAACAATTCACGATAGAAAAAAGAAATGAGTAAAAGTGGTGATACCGACAGCAGTGGAAAATTAAAAGAAACCAAAAACTATGGGTTATTATTGGTCAGGTTCACTAGAAACAAAGAGTAAATGAGCCTGATCTATAAGAACTTAGTTTTAAAGCGTCACATAGTTTCTAACTAAATGTTTCAAGAGTCTCTATCATGAAGTTTGCATTCTCTCAATAATTTCAAGCTAGTAGTTGGATTTAAGCGGGGGGAGATATATGCTAACAGACGCCTTGAAAAAGCTTGAGATGAAAGACAGGTAACCTAATTTTTTTTAACATATAGGTATTGGCACAAGGAGGCGCCAAATACATATGCGCCACACGAATCTCAATTGATTTGTGTGAGGGCTGTGATACTGCCCGGGTGCCCAAACCGAAGCAGGAGGTAACCTAATACGCTTTCCATTTAGTACAGAACAATAAATACGCACAAATAGAAATCCTACCTGTCCCTGGTGCACCGTACAAGATTACACCTTTGGGGGGTTTAATACCCATTTCTTCATAAAGTTCTGGATGAGTTAAAGGTAGCTCAACTGATTCTTTAATCTCCTGAATTTGTACATCGAGTCCGCCAATATCAGCGTATGTTTCTTGTGGAGCCTTTTCTAACTTCATAACTGTAACCATAGGATCGGTTTCGTCTGTCAAGACACCAACAACAGCATGAACCTAAATAACCCATGTAACGGAAATATATACGACGTATACTTTGTGGTTTAACAAGACAGAACACCCAGGTTCAAGCATACCCTTATCGACGAAGGAAAGAATGCTAACATAGTGCTCGCTACCAACAGAGGTAGATACTACAACGTGATTGTCGTCAATAATTTCTTCCAGGGTTCCCACAGACATTGGAGTGCCACGCAAATCATCAACTTTTGACCGTTCCTCCTAAGACCAGTTTAAAAATAAGATTATGAGTACCTCATGGCGCTCTTCATCCGTTTTAAGACGCTCCTGATTTTTGATAAACTCTTCTTCCATAAGTAGAAAATCCTTAATTCTCTCCATTTTTAATAGACGAAGTTTACAACGTGTATGAGGTGTGACTTGAGGTAATTTGTTGGCACTATCAGGCCCTTTAGATCGTTTGTGTTTGCCCATTCTAGTAGGTACTGGCGGATCGAATTCTCTTCGTTTAGTCTGGGAATAAAAAGTCAACAGTGTCTCATACCTTATCATCCTTCTTATTTCCTTCTTGACTAGATTGTTTTTGACCCTGGATAAAGAATTATGTAGGAAGTATTCACAAACCATCGAGAAAGCAAAATATCTGGAGAAAAAGCTTTCCGCGAGCCTTAATATGGGGAAGAATTTAACAGCCAACTGTGAATAGAATCAACCTGACACACTAAGAGAAAGTTCTGTGTTGGGCGCCTACATTCAATATTACATTATTTTCAAATTGTCGCCTACCAAAGAGAACAATCATTTTGAGCTTAGAAGTGATAAATAAATAAAAATGAAACAATAGTGAGACCAATCAGGTAAAAGTCTGTTCATTTTCTCAAAACTATTCAATCTTTTGTGATGAGTATGTGGAGTCAGTAAAATATCACTGAGCCCTAGCCAAAAAATTTAGCAGCTGGGTCAACGAATATCTACCGGTTCATCAATCCCCGTCAAGGAGAATCAACGCGCATCAGATGATCGTATATCGTGGACTGGCCCATGAGGTGGTGGTCTCACTATCTCCTCTGTATTCATTCGTACTAATATATTTCCGTAATAACGTCCTTTATGTTATTCGGTTTTCAGATCAGACTTGGTATTCTTATACGTCGAAGGGTTAATCTACGTTATGTGCTGTCCGCGAGGCAAACTTCAAGGTTGTCTGGTTTCCGTCTAACTCTAGTAGGCCCCCAATCATTCGACGTAGATCATCAACGTTGAAGATCTACGAGTTCGTTGGGTTGGGCAACTTGTCGCAATTGATTGTCCACTGGATACTGACCAATGTCATGCGTGTCTAGTCCTTATTATTAGTGCAGATCGAATTCTATCGACCACGTTGCAATGTGGCCACCAGTCTAGGTGACTCGACACTGCGGGCACTATTATGAGATTAGATGGTGGTTGGAGGTAGTCGACAGGAAACCCTGGACCCGGGTTTCGTGCTACTTGGCACTCGTCAACAAAGCGTACTTGTAGTCTTTGAGGGGACTGGTGCTCCCTGGCAGATTCGATCCCGTGTCACCCAGCTCCACAGTCAGAGACGTTACATTGGTCACCACCCAGTGATCAATCAATTGTGATTACATCTCAGTCCTACATGAGGTCGGTTGCGGCCCGGATAGCTCAGTGGTAACGTCTCTGACTGTGGAGCTGGGTGACACGGGATCGAATCTGCCAGGGAGCACCAGTCCCCTCAAAGACTACAAGTACACTTTGTTGACGAGTGCCAAGTAGCACGAAACCCGGGTCCAGGGTTTCCTGTCGACTACCTCCAACCACCATCTAATCTCATAATAGTGCCCGCAGTGTCGAGTCACCTAAACTGTTGGCCACATTGCAACCACCATCTAATGGGCGACTTGTATTAAGTTTTATGGTAAGTATATCTAAAACGATTCCGCTTATTTCCGGAGCCAAAGATAAAATACTAGGCTTATTCATACCATATGAAGCTAGGAATGTTGACGATCCAAACATATGACTACCATACTTAAAGAATCCGATGATGGTATCGTTGTATTCTTTTCCGTTCAGAACACCCATAACTGTACATGTACTTGAATGCTTTAAAGTTAGCCAACAATAGAAAAATCCATAGCCGTTTCCTAGGTCTTAAGAATATCTGTGCTCTCTGCTATGTCATATTGTAAAGCCATAACAGCAAATAGAACAAGTGACTGCATAATGGGACACATCTTCTATACTTCGTCTACAGATTTCTGAATTTCATCTGATGAACAGCATACAAATTCTTAGGATTAATGGAGAGTCGTTCCACTTCCTCACTTCACAAATAGCTAAATAAATGTACCATCGATCAATGTAGAAGTCTTTTGTTTTGTTTTCTCGGTAAATGAATACATGATGTTTGTAGGAACCAGGGGTAGAAACTAGGGAGTTACTTCCCGAACTCATGTTCTCATAATTTAGAGGACGGTAATTTTAATGTTTCCAACTGTTCTTTTGATTAAATCCTTCATAAAGAAAGATGAATATTGAAATCACTGACGATACTTTGGTCGCGTGCAGTTACCAATAGTTGACTCGGGCACTTCTTAGTTATTTGGCGCTTGGACTTTAATTAACCGTTGACGCTTACATAGTTACTGAAGCGGAATACAAGGACAGTGATGGAGTTCAATTTTTCAATAATTGTTTTCTTATTTCCTAGACTCACATTATAACCGTTAAGGTGAAAATTGTGTCATATGATCTGGTTATCAATTATTGTCATCGGTTAGTGTTCCTGACAGAATCAAGATTTGTAATCTGTCAACTGAGCTGTATCATAAATTTGGGCTGATTATACATAGTATCCACACCCCAATATAGACGGTTGTATCACTGTTACTAAGTACTAGTCAACTTTTGAAACCGCATCGCAAGATTTCTTGCTTTAAATGCCGTCAAACTCAGCTCAAGATAACAGTCAAAGGGTCAGATATCACTCTCTGTTCACAAGTTGACCACGTTTTTGAGCTTTAAATAAAAACCTCCATAAATATATGAATGATTTCCCGAGTAGTTTGCTCAAATAGTCAACGGCATTTTAAGTGATTTGCGTAACGGAAATTTTTAGACTCGTGCTAAATGCGCTCTGAGATTACGAATGAACCATGAAGTGAAGTTACTGTTATTGAAAAAAATTAACAAATGTTTTTCAAATACAGTCATATTTCGTTTAAATGGATATTTAGTGCAATTGACATAACACTGGACTAGGGAGCACTTTATTTTATTCCCGACTCTTACTCTGGTCTGCTCTTGGGGAAAAATAAATTGATAAGATCGCAACTACAAACACATGACGAAAAAAATCAAATTTTCAAGTTCCGAACTGCAAACGTTCACCAGTAAGTTACCAACTCTCTGTACATAGTTTCAAATAGTAATTTTGATAACATTTTTCATGGCAAACCTTAATTGTCTACAATTTCAAAGCAAATGTTGAGAAATGCAAAACCAAAAGTTCAAAGTGAAAATTATAAATGGATCAAGTTCTTAACTTGGGTTAGACGAACTCATAAAAAGACATTCACAGTAACAAATTAGAACCAGTTAAACACCTCATTTCTCCAGTAACACACTTGTTAAGAAGAATTATACACTGTTTGCTGCAAGAAGCTCACCAATTTTAACTGCCACCTAGTCTCAATCATGCACGAACTGTCGGTGTGAAATAGACCACTTACAAATGTTGGGTGGAAAAATTGTGCCAAAAGAAGCAACGTCACACTCTATATTTTCACTGTATTTTCAGATCTATGTCAGGCAAAATGCACAGGAAAAATCAGGAAAAATGGCGCTCAAACTAAACCAAGTATAACTAACTTCTCACAAACCCAGTCACGTAAAACAAAGAGGCAGATGAAAAATTCGCATGTGTCGAAAATCTCACAAGCTTGTCGCTCAGACATAACAAGACACCACAATACAATTTCTCAGGGCTTCAATCCATGTCCGACTGCCTAAGGAATGTGGATAATCTTTCAGTGGTCACTAAAACGTTGCTACTAAATCAAGCAATTACGAGAATAAGCTAAGAAAAAACAACCTCCTGGCAAGTTGAAGGTTTGACATGCACATCTCAGTTCAGATTGCGTGGCACTTGATATCATTTGCAAGAATAATTTACAGCTGGTACGGCAATCTTTCTCTGTCACAACTCAAACAGCAAACCGAACAGTTTCGACTTCCTGGATGGAGTTTTGAAGGAATATGAGTACTCAGTTGCCTATAAGAAACGACCTCTGATACCTTCAGGACAATAAACTCAGAGCGGCTCACTAGAATCAAGAACTAAGAACGGTTTCTCCCTTCAAAGATCTATAAACTTAGAACACATATGAAACTTCTAGATTCGGGTCAGGCCACATGATACGATCGGTATAGTTCCAAGGCAACTAACCACACGTCTTCTATAACATAGCGGTTTGTTTAGATCTCTTTTAGCTGCGTAAGCATTCCAAATACTCATGAATGGTTCGTATTGTGATATATCCTTTGATCAAACGTAGACTGACGAATTTTCGTTTGTCGTTACGATCCAGAATCATAAGAATGATCTATGAGACGTCTTTTGAAAGGAAAATATAATGATGAATGCATATCAGTCGAAGAAGGATATACACTGTGTCCGAATAGAAGTAGACACCTATTGGGGAGGGTTAAGACTGAAATTTAACATCAAATATCAAGTCAATTGATAAAACGTACAAAAATGTTAGTTCAAGCTATTGCTGAATTTCGGCTTTTGAAAAATATAGAACCATTGAAAAATGTACTGCGATGAAGACCGTGGGCTGTTGACCTGACTTTTAATTCTATGGATGTTTTAGATAATCACAATGACAAACGTAACCAGACAACCTCACGAAATATTCTAACAGGATCTTCCAATGGTTTTATTGCTTGAAGAAGGTTTAGCATTCTGTTGGTTCAATGAAGTGGGGTAGGTACCTTGACCTTACAGTGCTTTTCAGCGTCATATGCAAATGCTTTCTCTTAAACTGTTCATACTCATAGATTGATGATTTAAAAATTTGTGATGGAATTGAAGGCAATGATCAAAGATTTCTTATTTCGACAACTCAGTATGCGGTTAGAAATTTGGACAGATGTTGAGGAAACTAGAGTTGAGATTTCATCAATCAAAGTTTAGATAATTTTCCATTTATGGCTAACCATGTGATCTTTATCAAATGAACTGCTGTATATACTTTTGATTCTGTATGATTTAATAAGCAAATTTTCAATTGAGTTGGGGAATGGAGACTGTAGTTCACCAATGAAGGTGATCTGTCTAGAATTATTGATGGTCTACTCGAGTTGGACGGGAATGACGTGACTAATCAGCTAGTGTTGAAGTCGTGTCTCACGGTTAATACCTAGCGTAGAATATCCTTTTATCATATCTGGGTGTTATGAACACTTTGATAGCCGTTCAAAGCAAACAACGTTATTACAGAAATACATTGGCAAAAGTAGATAAAGAAACAGTGAGACTTCTGCTACACGTAACAGTTCGTTACATGCAACTGCTTAGTCTTTGGTTGTTCTAGACCTTGAGCAGGACGGGTAAATTTTTCAATATTAAGCAACCAAACTGCCAGAACAATGAATAGACCGATGAATAACAACTAATCTCATTAGACTTTAAACATCATAATCATACAAAGAAATCACACACATGTTTTGTCAATACTCACTTAAAAAACTGGAAACATGTGCCTTTTGGTTTACGATTATTTATGACCTTTTGTCTCTAGTAATGTTATTACACTAACATATATGTGTTTTTGTACATCATTTTAGGAGTAGATGTTGGTCCATAGCTGGTCGCAATCTAAGGCGGGTTGTTTGTGTGGATATTCGCGAATGACGTGAATTATGTGGAGATTTGAGCTGTATGCTAAGCTTTTCCAACTGAAAGTAATTATATTTTGGATTCTTCAGTATTTACTCACTTAGTTAAGTAATTATGATAAGCACCCATGGGAACACGGAATTGAACAACGGATCTTGCAGGTAATTTTCTGTTTCGGCATTATTACATTTTTGACTACATCAGAAATAGTTGCTATCACCTCATAGTTTACGTTGGACAAAATGTGTTTATTCTCAGTTTGCTCCTTGCTTCACTGAGAACAATCGGTTTTTACAAGATCTGAGCACGTGTATTCGTCTTGTCATATGACGAAATCCGTTATTATTCTCTGGGATAAAAGGTACAGGACACGTCTTCCGGCGGCAGTTTCTGGGAGTCGAAAAACCTGATTGTCACGTAATTTTTGTCCGCCCTTGAATTTAGAAATAACTAATTGTGGCCTTTGGGTTGTTCTAATATAATTGGTCAGGATTCATTTCTTAGTATCTTGTACGTAATTAGATCTACTATTAGTCATAAAATACGGCTAAGTGCTGAGTACGCAATACTGCATTACCTACCTAATGCTTAGAAATAGGGATGTATATGTTTGTGAGTTAGGGTCTTGAGCTGAAACAGAGAAAGTCAACTGATGACGCTGATTGTAGTACTTCAGGATCTTTTCGTTTCTAATTATACCTCCTAAATCATTGTTAGACATTGATAAGTTCAGGCCGAGAATTTTTATACGTTCTAAGTGCCAGTTATTATCACTAGCCCTCAAACTTACAGTGTGGCTCATATCCAAGTGTCTGGTGCATGAGTTAATTAGTTTAATTTTGTTAGTATTCCCTCGGTACTCCAGTGTGAGATTTGATAACTTGGACCAACACACATGCTTGTCGTGTTTACGTTGTTATGACCAACTACCTGATTAGCACATATTTGAAAAGTAACCAAAAGTTTTATTCGGTCAATCGTATTTTTACGATATATTAACCGTCCTAAAACTAAGTAAACAGCGTCAACTCTATACAAATGATTATAATAGGACATAATTGTTCACTTTTAGACAACGAAATAAACCCATTGTTTCGTCGAAGAAATAACTGCAGTTTGGTGAAAAAACTTCGTGACGATGTTATTTGCTAGATGGCTACAATTGTATAGTATACGTAAGTACATAGTGGGATGGAAGTATTACATCATTGGAAACATGGTTGAATGTGTTGTCAGGTGTCGAAAAAGCTACACAATAAATCAAAGTGAAAATAAATTACAGATGGAAAATGATTGTCAACTTGAAGAATATCAAAAAATGTAGATATATGGTAGTTTCGTGTCGTAAATTGTGTGAACGTATGATTTGTAGGAACGAAGTTGCGTAACGTTCTAACTGATAATGAGAAATGACGAGTTGAAAATATGTTATGTAAGAGGTAACTATTTTTTTTACTAAGTATAAAGAACAGAATAATTACAAAATTGTGGTACTAGCTGATTGGTAATTCTGAAAATATGATGGAGTAATAACAATTGACTAATGAGCATGCGATATAGGGAGAGGGTTAAGACATGTTTCCTTCGTACACAGAGACTAGGTTGGGATCTGTGAGTTGTTAAACCTTCTTCAGTACATACGTTTCTAATCTGTATTTCTTACGACTCACCTCTTTGTTCATCATTTCGCTAATTTATATTTCATCAAATCGTATATTCGATGGTCAACTTTTTCTATTACCATTAGTACTGTTACTATCTCTATTATTCTGGAATTCTTCCTGAAAGTTTCATCTTGATTCGCTATTAGGATACGGAAACTTGAGCTGGTGTACAAATGTACCAGGCTCAACGTTACGTTTTAGGTATTAACTGCGGGTGAATGTGAAGTATTCTGGTGGAGCGACGTGGCTAATGCTTGTGAAATTAAACTATTTGCTGACTTAATCAGTGCTTCTGGTAACTAAACGGGGTAATGCTCAGAAATAGGTTCCAAGAGAGCTAGTCTTGTGCGCCCGATATAACCTGGTCCATAAGATGAAGTTGATTTATAAATATACATAGCTGTGGCCCAAAGCGGAAGTTCGTAATTCATGCATCCACTAATCAAAGTACGACTATAGAAGAGAATGCAATGTTCATTAGAAGAAAATATTTTTCTCAGAGATCTCGAAAGTCAGTTTTTCAGGATGTCTGCCTCTGTATCTCCTTTAAATTGGATGTCTATGAAAAAAATCTATAACTCTAGATAGTTTTTCACGCTACTGTATTATCCTACTATTTCTGTTAACCAGTATATGTGGATGGCCATTATTGATGGGTATCTGTCGTGATTGATCTAGTTCAATGTCATTTGTATCATCAGTTTAAATACTTTTGGCTCTAGCTGATAGAGTGAATTAAGTTTCTCTTCTGTTTCAAGGGAGCCCAATATTGGGATTTGTGTACTCATCGTTTTAAGTTGGCTTTCTGTGTATTGATCTTCAAAGCAATCCATTTGGCCCTCGACTTAGCAAAATATCTTAGAAATGAAACTCCTGAGTCTAACTCTGGTTTTGTTGTAAACGTGAATATTGGTGACAACTACTCAACTTTCGCAGGATGTCTTTGGGTTTCTTTATTTTCGTTTCGGATTGTGGAAAAATCATTGGAATATCTTTTGTATGAATGAAAACTGTCGTTTATGGTTTTAACTACAATGTTGTATGAATTGGCAGTAAAAAATTGGCTTGAAGCGCGTCGAGGGGTGACCAGATTGCCATTTTGATGGTTTGTCTACTCAATTTAAACCGAGCATTAAAAGTAAATTGCAGAATTAATTTCTTTAGACATTGTTTTGGAACACTGATATCGAGGTTTTTGTTTTCATCATAGTCTCATGACAGACAGCTTGTATCTGAATGAGGTGCATTTGTTAAGTGAGAAGTAACGTCCAATGATTAAATTTTTTGCCCGGTTACACTGACGTCAGATATTGAATCAACGAAACCAAATGAATCAACAGTAGTGTGTCTGTTAAGTTAATTTCCGACTGTATCGGATTTCAGTTAACCGTTTTGTGATGTAGTCTAGGAGATCCAGTGGAACATTGCCAACACAATTCTGTGTTTAATTTAACACTAAACTTTTATTCTTCGGAAAATCAGATAATTGGGATTCACTTTTAAAACTGGATGTTTAGGTTTTGGCTTTGTAATAATGAATACAGCGGCTTACAAGGTTAGGGAGTTACTCATAGTCATTGTTATAGTCTGGGATAAGTTCGCTTGTCTAATAAGTTAGATTTCCAAATTGGATTTTCGTGTTGAGTCCTTCGATTGCTGTGGAGGTATCACAATTTTTTGAACCTAATACTTGTAACTGTAAGTTCATCATTCTACATAGTATATATGACGTAGGAATGTAAGTGATATCTGTCTTGGAGATAGATGAAATATATCCTCTTTTATGAATTAAGACCCTTTTGACTGTTGAGTGTTGTTATTAATGATCTGTCAACGACGTAAAATATTTTTATGTAAGGAATATTGACGGTATCCGAATCCATAGGTCAGGGTAGATGAAAATTAGAGGTTTGATCCACTCTTCGTCAAATCCTTAAAAGAGTGAATATTCTTACTCTTACCACTGGATTGATGATACAAATATATTTTACACAAATTGATGTTTAGTACCATTGGTTTTGCTACATTAGATTTTCTTCATTTCAGTCTGTAAGAACGTGCATAACTAATTAGTTTTCTTGATTAAAATATTGTTGAAACATAACATTTTCCGTATTCGCTCTAGGGAATTGATCGCCATTCGGCTCGTGATGGTAAAACACGTTCAGGTCTTATTGATGTAGACTTAATACGAGGTAAGTAGGTGATTAATTGCATACTTGTATTTTTCACTGCTTACTGTATTGTTTCATTGAATATAAAGTATTAATGTTTCAATGTTCAAGTCGATAATTTACAGGCTTGAAGTTCCTGGTCTCTTCTTGTACTTGCATAAATGTCTTTTGCTTCCAAAATTATCAACGTCTGGTACTATTTAAGGGTTAAACCTGAGATTCTTGTCACGTCTCATTAAGTTTTTACAGCTAAATGCATCGAAATATCGGTTGGTGTTTTGTTGTAACTTTGATTTGACCGTAATAACCCTTCCTGAAAGCACTAGGACACCGTAAAACTAGTTTAGATCTGAGTTTCTGTAGAGAAAGTTATATTCACCAAAGTCTACACTCCTGCAACAAGTATCAAAGCAAATGATTTACTCAGAACTTCGTTGTTATTAGCAATCATACTAATAATAAAACATACGAATATTCATCAATATTTAAATGAATAGTTTGACAGTAATCAGGCATTAAGTATATAGAAGACATTATTTGTAAAAATTATATTTCATTGAAATCATGAACCGATCAATATTAGTCCACCATTGAGAATCTGGAAGGACTGAACGACCGTTTCGTTCTGTAGTGGTACTCCTCGTCGATGCGCATCCACGATCCTCCCACGGGGGATCCTAACCCAGGACCTTCGGTATCCCCCGCGAAGACTTAACTTTTGGACCACTAGGCCGGCATCTAACAGCGCTAATGTTGACCTTCAGTCAATCTACGATATTGCGCGACCATTTCGTCTAAAAAATTTCAGCGATTGAAATTTAAATAATACCAACATTTCGTCCAGCAACATTGTTTACACTTTTCAGAGTGATAATCAAAATCAAACTATCATAGAATTTATAACCCTGTTTATTTCCCTGTTTGCCTTTATTCCGACTTCGAATGTCTTGGCATCATAATTACATGTGTGGTGATTCTCATTGTGCATACACATCGATATTTTAAAAACGTTTCAGTTGCCATCATTGTTTTTATTTTGCTACACAAAATGATTAGCGTATCTTTGGTAGTAGGTTGGGACTGCATTTATTCACCAAATATTAACTATTCATAACATAAAGGTACACATACACACATTTTTTTTTCACATTGTAAACTTTCCGCATTATTCACATACTACTAACTCATATTTCTCTACTTACCGAAATCAACATCTGATTGTGACTAGATAAGCTTTTACTGTAGATTTAATTGTCAAACGTTATATATTCTTTGACAAGACTTTTGAATGAAATGTTGGAATTATTTAAATTCCAACCTACGAGACTTCTCCGAATATTAATACAACATGTTTATCCCTGCTTAGAACGAAAATAATCCGGATTACAAACCATTATATAAATATCATTTAGTCACATTAGAACTTGATATAAGTTTTAAATAGTATAATAAAACAGATAGCAAAATGGAGAAGGAATAAAATCAATAGGTACAGACATATTAAGTAGGTTCTTGAGTAGTGAATGTATCTAAACCTTTAATAATGTTATTGCTATGTTTCAGTTTGTAGTGTCTTATAATGATCTACAGATTTCTGATAGATAGATTTAACGAAATGATACGATATTGAGTAACCGTTTCTGTCAAGACTGAGTTACTTATTTAAATCACTTAAAGAACTAATATCAAAATAAAAGATCACCAGCCAGAAAAATAAGTTCTTTTTGTAACAATATGATGTACTTATAAACGTAAATAAACTTCAATAAGTACCGTTTGATAATGAAGCGATATGAAGATAGGTTTTTTTGTGAGCTCTTCGATTTCTAATGAGTTGAAGACCTGACTATCAGTTTAAATTCCTCCTTTTCGTATCGAGTACAATGGCTAACAGCCGGACCTTTTCATCTGCTTTGTTTCAATTCATTGTTTTTTGTTTACAGCTACTTTTTCAAATCCATATGGTTTATCTGATAATTTCTATCTTAGCTTTTCTCCAGCCGTTTTTCAGGCCAATAGCTATTTTGTATATGCTGATTATTACTTCAGATGGTGGTCAGAGGTAGTCAATAGGAAACCCTGGACCCGGGTTTCGTGCTACTTGGCACTCGTCAACAAGGTGTACCTGTAATCTTTGAGGGAGCTGGTGCTCCCTGGCGGATTCGATCCCGTGTCACCCAGCTCCACAGTCAGAGACGTTTTCTGTAATATTTCTCATGAGCATTACGATGTACTCTTTAGCTAAATGTAATCGGTTTTAGTTGTGTTCTTGCTTGAACTATATTATTTTCTTAGCGTCTTACTGTATTAAGAGTTGTATCATAAATTAATAAAAATAATTAGACGATGGGGGCGTATATAACTTAGTCTTGTTAATTGAAAGTGTTGACAAAAGACAGTCTTCCAAATATTTTCTGTCAAAATGAGAAACAAAGGGGCTTCCAAATTCTTTCAGCCACCAATGTGTAACTCAATGACAGAGATTAAAGTGATCAAAATCACTAAACAATTCACCTATTTGATAATTCACACTAGATTAGTAAACCAGTCTATGACTAGTGAAGTTCTGAAGTGGATATAAAAGTGTCATTTTGCTTTTATAAATCTACACTAATTGAATTACATAGGATTTTTTCGAATGCAAGTTCAAGAAGGAGTATGAGATGTATCATATTGCTTCACAACATGACTAAGGAATATGATTTTTCACAGTAAAAAGTCAGTGTATTCATATCTTATTTGTTGTTATCTTGGAAACAATCGTTTGAATGTGATGAGCTCTATGAATGGTCATTGTTGTTGATGTTATAGTGAAAAGTTAATTAACTGGTTGTGTTGTAGATCTTCTTGAACTGCATTCGTTAGAATTACTGTCAAATTCATTTACTATACTAGGTAGGTTAGTATTTGTTTAATACAAACCTCAGAATAATCAGACCTTGAAATTTCTCTAGGTGATACAATCTCTGACTGTTTAGAAAGCCGAAGTTGTTTTAGCTAAAGTTTATGAGATGATTGAGGATCGGATTTGATTCAATGGATATGATCCATTCATTCTTTTCATCGTTAATAGAAATGTTTGGTGCCTTGCCTTTCATTTTATCATCCTTTCCTATTTTTTCTGTTTTGCCCTCACTATCTGTACGTTTACGTCTCAATAATCATTATGGATTAAAGTAGTTTGGTATTTGAGGTTTTATATCGCTTTTATTTTCTCTAAGTATTTGGCTGACATATATAGTGTCTAAGGTCAATTAATGAAAAAATGTCAATATATCTTTTGCTATAGATTATTCCACGAAATATTACCTATGGCTTTTCTGACTATCAAGTTTCTAAATAAATTATTGATCCGTGCTAACAATACATTGAGGTCACTTGCAAGTTTTATTGTCTGTACAAACGGTGGTTTGTTAATACGTCACATTGATTTGCAAATTATTATTGTAGTTACAGTGTTTAATCTCTTAACAAACTTCATTCATGTATATCACTAATTGCAGGATTTTAAGCTGTTGAGAGCTTGTGGTTTAGAATTAAATGTATGCAGTTAAGCATTAAAGTCTAGGTGATAGGCTATGCTGCAAAATATGCGCTACATGCAGTGCATAAGAACTATCGGCTATTAGACTAAGCGGGTTTGAATTTGTGGTCTAAGGTTTAGGTGAGTGTGTAAATGATTTAGCTCCATTTCTTCGTGAGTGATCAAGGTTATTTGCAAGCGTTTTTGGTTTTTAGAATCTGATAAATTCGCAGCCTTGATCACCATTATATGGTATCAGGTATCATGATAACCATGTTACCTAAATTTTGATCGTACTAGATAAACTCTTGTATTAGTTTTCATCGATATTTAAATATCTTTTATAAAGGTTCTGTTTTCACCAAGGCTAAAACCGGGCATGGTTGGATGGCAGCTGTGCGTTGGGGCTTATTGCGCGTAGCATTCGCTCCTTTTTACTGGAACTACTGGCGCAGTCATACATCCTTTCGTATTGCTGTTTATATCATGGTTCACTTTTTTCTACAGTTTTTACAAGCAGTATTTTTCCTTCTGACGGACCCGCGGACTAGTAACGTAAGTCTCTTTTTTAATAATATTCTCTAACCTTTACTCTTTGGACTAAGAAAGCGAAGCTTATCAAAATTTGAGGTTTCATATGGTTTAGCTTTCAAATGCAAAACTTGTATTGATGAGCGTTTTTAAAACATTTAAACGAATTTAGTTTTGTAATCACCCAGTTTAAATATAGGTATCGATCTAGGAGATAGACTCATTATTCTCTTTCAACTTTGGACATATGGTTCATTTATTCCCCGTTGATCAATTTCTTTATATTGATTCATCATAGCATCTTATTTCTGTGTTGAACTTTTCATTCTAAACGTTAAGAAATTGTATCGTTTCAAAACATTTCATTTATTGTATGTAGTGCTTCATCTCTTTGTCTTTTATGTTTATCACCTGTGGAATAGACTGTTTTACAGTGCTAATTCATGTGAACTTTTCGTGGTTTGTTAAACGCTCTCTTGTTATCTTTTTTTCATAAGACTTGATTGTAGTTATAATAACTTTTGTGTTTTACGACTTCTGTGATGTTTTAATGCTTCAGTTTTGTTAGTTTATCATCACGTGGTACTTTTAATTTACATAAAACCTTTATCATTTGACATTACACATTGTAAACAGCTGGGAAATTTGAGTGTTAGTTTTAGTTTTATCGCCACACTAAGTTTCGGAGTATTTATATGCAAATGTTCTACTGAAGTCTCATAGATATAACTGGTACCTACACATATAAACATACCAGTGTACATTATCCTTAAGTATTGTTTCTTTGTTAATTATTTTGTTATCTACAGATTAATGAATACTTCAATACCATATTTTCATAAATCAACAGGTATAATGAGGAAATAACATAGACTTATTATTAATTGAAGTCATAATATCACATGGTTCTGATAAATGTTATGTTGTCATTACACAATTTGAAATTGTATTGATTTTCCAAATTTCGGGTCACTTGGTTGTATAACATTCATAACACGCACATCCGTGAATAAAAAATGGCTTCAACTATAAATTCAAGTTACTCAAAGATTGAAGCAAACATCTTTTAATGGATCCAGTAATTTCGTTTAAAAATTGGCTTTTGCTATATTAGTACATTTAAAAGCATTAGGAGATATTCCGTTTTGTTACATGAATTGTCACATTTAAAATACTGCCCATTAATCCATCACTCATAGATCGGTAGTTTTTATGTTAATTCTAAAGTTATGTACTAGCGAAAACTTATGACAAAAAGCGGGTTAAAAATTAATCTTTTGACTCACTCTATACCTTTTTTAATTAAGAAAATAGATTGCTTCTATCTCTATCTCCAGTCTAGCTACAACCTATGGTATGTATTTCCTGCTTCGGTTTGGGCAACCGGGCAGTATCACAGCCCTCACACAAATCAATTGAGATTTGTGTGGCGCATATGTATTTGGTGCCTCCGTGTACCTATACTTATGTGTTAAAATAAATAAATAAATAAATAAGTGGTATGTATTTGAGTTCCCAGACCTCATCCGTATCTGTCTAGATTTATATTTGGATTTGAATACATGAAGTTAATATCGGTTACCCTTAGATAGCCTATGATTGTTCACCAAATACATCAATAGCTTGTTGTTTACTACAAATAAAAGATTATTCTAGCATTATGTTCCCCGGTTTTTAATTCAAACTATAACTTCCAAGTTTATTGTCATTATTTATGATCAACAAATAACTTTCCTAATAAGTTAGTAAAACCTAAACTGTGTTTTCCGAGCTTTTTCGGTGTTCAATGATCATAATTCTGAATTTTTGTTTCAGAGCTCTCAGGATGATTTACTTCTTCCTTGCTTATTGGCTATCTGTCTGGGTATTCTTCATGCACATATTACTGCTCCACATCGAAAACCTGGTTTATATTCCTCCTTTATGGATAACCCAATGTCCAATCAATCTTTCAAAGATATTGGTGACCATGGCTTGAATTCGAATAGTTGTCAATACAATCCGGACAATTTAGTAAATAATAAATTTAGTAGTATACAGACTGTTATAAATAGACATAGTGAGTATGATCATTCATCTTGGTTTCCTATACAGTCAGCTATTTCAGAGCATCACAAATTTCCAACCAATATGTGAGTTCTATAGTCATGTGTATCGATTAATAATCCATTGATTTATATCAAGTAACATTCAGTTTCAAACACTTATTGTTTTCCAATTAAGAGATTCTAGTCAAGTAGGGTTCTTTTTTGGTATTCATATTATTTCTTTTATAAGGGTGAAGATTAGATGTTAATTTATAATTTATTTCGAATTACCACCTCTTGTCTACTATGCTTGGGCATTTTGAAATGTGTAGTCGTAACCTATTTCGGTAAAAAAACGACACGCTTTCATAAGTTAAAAATTCAGTACTATCTTTTTCAAAATATCGTTCTAAAGGATTTTCCAGTTACATCCTTAAGTTTCCGTACAACTTTATGTTTAAGTCATTGTTTACTGTCAAAGTATGTGCTTGGAATTTCTTTTCCAACATTTTTGTCTAAGTTTTATGTGTGAAGAAAGAAAGGACGGACAATTCATCCAACTTGGACTGTTTATCCAAACAACCATATTACACTCATCCCATACATTATTAACGCACACACACTTAAAATGTAGTTTTATTTCTTCACATTTTGTACATCCACTAGCATACACACAAATGCACATGGTAATCTCTTATAGAATTGCCTTGAGCATAAATGACATAACATTAACATAATCAGATCTGTTGTGATTTCGATTGAATTAAATATTCTTCGTTGTTCTTCTCTACATATCTCAATTTCTGTTAGTTTAATTCGGTTACTAATTTCCTGTCTGGAGAAATAGACTGAAACTAGATCGCGAAACGTCAGGAATTTTAATTTCTGCTCATTGTGATATCATAAGTGTAGGATTATTTTATTATTAACGATCTGCTCGATGCTTATTCTGTCTGAAACTGTCAAGTCAAACCGTAATAATACTCAGTGATTAGTAATGAAACTTAAGATTGTTCCTATTCTCTGTATAAGACCAATCGCTGAACTTTCATTTTTTGTCAATTAGTACAATAGCTAATGTTAATTTTCTCCTACAGAATATACACAATCTTCTTCAAAGTTTATATTCATTAAGTTGCTAAATGTGACCAAATATAGGAATTTAACATTTATTTATGTATATAAACTGGCTTTAGTTACTCAGCGAATCATCAGTCAAAAAACGTACCAAATCCCAACAAAGAACATATAATAAATGTTTCAGAACAATGTGGACATTCAAGTAGTGGTTGTTTCGAATGTTGCAAAGCCTCTCAGCTAATGAACAGAAATTACGCAAAAGCACAACGAAATATACACTGGAGACCATGTGAGATGCAACCGAAAAGGCCGTTAACTTCATCCTATAAGTTCTTAAAAACTCATCTCGACACTGATTATCAAAATGACTGCTTTGATCTATACGGTCCAGGTGATGATACCCAAAATGAATTAAATGTCTCGGATTTTACTCATGGAACAGATGGTCCACAGACATTGGATGAAGAATGTGGACGAACTAAACTTCTTCATAATTCGCAGGTATTAGAGCATAGATCGAGAGTGGTTCGAAGACGCAGACGTCACAATAGTTACAATTCAAAGCTTGGTAACTCAAGTCGTGGACACGATGCAGACGTAGAAGAGAGCGAAGGTGAACTTATAACTGTCCCATCTAGAAAAGATGTTGGGGAGATTGGTTTCAGTGATCAAATTGTGGATGGTCTGAATCCTGAATTTATTCACCAGTTACGATTAAAAGATGTTGGTTCAGATAACCATTTTGGGTCTTCTAATTCAGATATAAATCCAGATTCCACAGCTCTACGTACGATAAAACAAGTATCTGAATCTCCATTAAAATCTTCAAATTTACATACGTCTGCCAAATTACCAAATACTCTGGGTGATTTTTCAGCCGTAAGCGTTTTATTCTTCATAAGACGTATTTCTTAGTGTGAGTTAATAGATATTTAGCGTCAGAACTTTCGTCAATGAGGCAACATAATTAAAGTTTGATTCTTATGTATGGCAGAATAATTAACTGATCAGTGGGATATTTCATACCTAAATCTAAAGACTAAATCGTATGCTGCCTGTCTATAATATAACGTACCAGATTTAAGTTCACATTAATCAGTCAGTCCTAAGAAATGGAGAACCTGGCACATATGTATATTAGTCCAAGTCCCCATTCCACATTGGTGCAGCGAGACGAAATTATCGAGACCAATGCCAGACAATTATATGTTGTTATAGTACCGTTAGCTGTACAAAAAGACAATGAATTTATGTAATAAAACGTGAAGTAATTTTAAACTCAGGAAGTTATAGAACATAAAGAGGAAATACATGTGGATCATTGGGATCGATTCTGAGCTATATCATCCGTCTCCAACAGTAGTCACGTAGGTTCCAACTTTATCTTTGATCCAATGTGTTTGGTTTGAAGTTCAGTAATTCTAATCAGCTGCCTAAACCCGAAATAAATGAGGAGTAATTAAAAACATGTGGCCCACTCGTTGAGTGTTCGAATAACTAAGGGCCTACAGATTTCAAGTTTCAATTATACATACTTTTACCTACTTTCTTACTTACACCTGTTACCCTTCGTGCAGGAGCATATGCCTCTCACCAGCATTCTTCATTTAATTCTGTCCTGCGTAATCCTTTCCAGTTGCTATTGGTTCTTTTCATGTCTGATTGCCATTGTCGACGCAATGTGTTCTTTGGCCTTCCCCTTTTTTGTTTCCGTTCAGGATACTAAAATAAGCGCTTAACTCGTGATGCAGTTTGATGATTTTCTCAATGTGTGTCCTATCCACTTTCAACGTCTTTTCCTAATTTCCTCTTCAGACGATAGCTGGTTTGTTCTCTCTTACAGTAGGATATTGCTGATGGTATCTGGCCAACGGACATTGAATATCCTGCGTAGATAATTGTTTATCGATACTTTTACCTTTTGGATGATGATTGTGGTAGTTCATCAAGTTTTAGCTCCTGACAGTAGAACTGTCTTACCGTTCTTATTGAAGATTATGACTTTGATATTGGTTGACAGTTGTTTTAAGTTCCAGATGTTCTTCAAATGTAGAAATGCTGTCCTTGCTTTGTCAATCCTCGCCTTTACGTCTGCATTAGATCCTCCAACTTTATCGATGATTTTGACCAGATACGTGACACTGTCCACCTCTTCTAGAGTTTCTCCATCAAGTGTGATTAGGTTCGAGTTCTCGGTGTTATTGCAGTGTCTGTTATTATGCTAAGCCCACATACCTTATTCTAGCTGTCGGACATCTCAGTCTATTCATCCTACTTGAGTCATATTTCGACCTTGTTAATTATTCGCTTATCAATCTTCACTGTCTTTATATGGGCGCGTGGGCGTGTGTACACTTCTTATCCCACTGTTAATCACATGTCTGTAATTTATCTTTGTGTGCTTATAAGTATTGATTAATTCTTTGTTAAGGGAAGTTGGCTTACCAGCCATCTCCACCGCGCGTCATTTTTGCTTCGCTTTCTTTTCTTCGCATCGTTTTCTCGTTCGTTTGTCTGATCGATGTTTATACAAAATATCTGCATTCAGAAGTCCATTCTCGTTATTTGACTTATTTAATTCCGTTATTAACTAACGCGATTCAAGTCAATGATTATATACGAGGATAGGCGATAACAAACATCATTACGATCAACTTGGAGTCAGATCGCGTCGCCACTTTTGTGGGTGGCCGTTGTCGCTGGGTTGCGTTAGGTTCGTCGTCAGCGGGCTTACTATCCTAGCGGCACCAAATAAAAATGTGCCACACAAAACAATGAGAATTTGGGGAGAAGAAAAAAAGGACAATAGCAAACAGATTAGTGTAAGGTAGTGTATAATAATAATGATAGTAATAATAATAATAGTAATGATAATAATAATAATAATAAAAATGGGGGAAACGGAAAGGTACAATCAGAAGAAATCTTTCAGTTAAGGAAGATACAACCACTTTTTATGAAGAAAGTAAAAGAAGGTTACAGCAGGATCGCCACTGGCTTCTATTATGAGCCATATCTGATAACGTCTCTAGCCACTGTGTTGCACCATCTCTCGGATCCCAGCCAAGGAGTCGTGAAGGACCAACAGAAGCCAGCCCTTTGCAGCTTTCTTTCGTACCTTGACACTATGTCATACACTGACCACCTCTCTTCTTTTTCCAACCAGTCCCCAAAGTCGGCAAATAATGCACGACGTGGAATTCTCTTGGACGACATCCGTAGAATATGTCCAAGCCACCGAAGTTGGTGTTTCAAGATGGTGACACCAATTGGATTATCGTCTCTGTGCCCGGACACACGATGCTGAACCTCTGCATTACTGACGTGGTGTTGCCACTGGATGTCAGCAATCCTTCGGAGACAACGATTATCAAACACAGAGAGTCGTCTAACATCCTCAACTCGGAGAGGCCAGGTTTCACAAGCATAGAGCAGAACTGTTCTCACCGACGCGTTGTAGATCCGACCTTTTACAGCCAGACTAACATCACGAAGGTGCCGAAGATGGCCCAGATTGGCATGAGCCGCTCTGGCTTTCACTATATGTGCATTGATCTCATCACTCACGCCACCACCAGCACTTATGCAGCTACCTAGATACACGAACTTCTCGACTACTTCTATCTGCTCACCATCCAGGGTGAATACAGGATTAGAATCCTGCCAGTCTTGTAGAAGTACTTTGCACTTCGTAGGTGCAAAGCACATACCATACCTACGGACACTGATTCCCAATTGACTAAGTGCGGATTGTATGGCTTGGGCATTCTCGCACAGTAAGACAATATCATCCGCATAATCAAGGTCGAGAAGTCTTTCTCCAGGCAACAGATCCACACTGTCACTACTTACACCCATCAGAGCTGTTTCCAGAATGTCATTGATGGCAAAGTTGAAGAGGAATGGTGAGATTGGGCAACCCTGTCTAACCCCACTGCTTGAATGGAATAATGGAGAGAGGTGGTTGTATGCCCTCACTCTGCCTGAGGTGTTTGTGTATAGGGCTTTTAGGATGTTAATAAACTTCTCAGGCACACCCTTCTTCAATAGACAATCCCAGAGCACAGTTCTGTCCAACGAATCGAAGGCAGCCGTGATGTCAAGAAACACTACGATTGTAGGCCTTTGATAAGTATGACGGTGTTCTAACATTTGGCGGAGGGTGAAGATATGATCAATACATCCTCGACCGGAACGAAACCCAGTCTGCTCCTCGCGAGTCAATGTTTCTCGGGTTTTGAACAACCTACGAAATATGACGGAAACCATTAGCTTGGATGCAATCGGAAGTAGACTTATCCCCCGATAGTTGTTACAGAAACGACGTGAACCCTTTTTAAAGATTGGGACAACTATCGACTCATTCCATGACGTTGGTACACTCTCTAGTTCCCAGACCTTTGCAAACAACGTCGTCAGTCTCTTAGTCAGAAAGTCACCACCATCTTCACAAAGGGCCGGAGGTAAGTCATCTGGGCCCGGTGATTTGTAGCGCTTCAAGAGTTGGAGTTCCTTGCGGACTTCCGCCTAATTTGGTGGACCAGTTGTCACCGGTCATGGAGGGCAGGACAGTCTGACCGATGTTGTCGGAGTAGCAGGCCAGTTGAACTGCCCTTCGAAGAATTCTTTCCATCGTCCAATACGTCGATGGATGTTAGTGATTGGCATCCCGTCATCTTCGCAGATTGTTTCGCTCACACCAGACTTCTTGCTGCCAGTGGCTCGGATGAGTTGGAAGAGCTTCTGGTAGTTACCAGATGCAGCTGCTGCTTCCGGCTCATTAGCACGCTCCGACCACCAGGCTTATCGGTCCTTACGCAAGCTTTGTCCAATTTCATTGCGTAACATCCTTCGTTTGTGGTCAAACTCACGGTCACCCGGAGTAGACCGGCGGGCTTCAATGAGTTGTAAGGAACCAGAAGAAACCCAGTGCTTATAAGCGGGTCGTTTCGCGATGCCGCAAGCGGCTTTACTCGCCATTTTGATAGCGTTATGAAGTCGCAGCCAATGCTCATCTATAGGCTAGAAGCTATCTCGCTTCGATACTTACAAGCGACGGAAGTTGCAACCAACTTGCTAACATCAATCCTTTGGTGGCGATTACTTCGTTGGCCACCGAAAAGTAAGGTAAGATTGGCGCAGACTAAGGCATGATCAGATTCCAGATAGGTACTCCAAAAGGAGCGGCAGTCTTGTAAACAACCACGCCAGTGGTAGCTGATCGCGATGTGATCAATCTGAGTCCAGGCTTGTGATGCAGAGGGAGGACGCCAGGTGTCACATCGGTGATGACTGTGCCGAAAGTTAGTGCTAGCCAGAAACAAGTTGTGGTCCGTGCACAGCTGCAGTAGACGTTCCTCGTTATCTGTCCTACGACCAACAAGTCCCCGTCGGCGACATAAACGAATCTCTTCTGTGCCTAGACACCCGACCTGAGCATTCGAGTCTTCGGCTAGTACTACAATATCTGTCGAACGCACTTCCTGGAGAAGAACAGTTAACTGGTGATAGAATTCATCCTTGATTGCATCCGGGCTGCAATCTGTCGGGGCATAGGCGGAGACGACGGAAAGACATCGTTTTTCACGCCGATTTCTTCTCACTTTGATGGAACTTTCTAATCTAACAACACATAACCGACTGTTAATGGTGATGCAATCGATTAGTGCTGACTCAGCTCTAGTGCTTAGTGCGACACCAACGTCAGCAAGACCAGGCGAAGATGCCACAGGGTCCCCGGATAAGCGCAGGTAAAACAAGCTTTTTGAAGCGACAGATGGAGAGCGAACTTGTAGTACTTCACCAGAGTCTTGAATACGGGTCTCGGATAGACAACACACATCAATATTAAGACTTTCCAAAGACATTGCCATCCCTAT